GCAGAATACAATATCTATGTGATGCTACTCGTTAGTGTCATGCATCATAATTGACAATGTGCATTCTATTATGTGTACAAGCTGGCGTGGTGAAGAAAACAGGGCCATGAAGTTTGGTATCCCCAGAATTTGGAGGGAACTAACAGACTAATTGAGCAACTGTCACTTATGCATGGTGGACCTTTCCAAACGTCGAACTGGCAAGAGCGCTATTCATTACCATTTATCCAAACAGACCTTCATCCATCGCCCCTGTACCACACTACCCGAATATTCCCCATTCCTCCTCCACCAGAGAGGGAACAGTCATCTTCATCAGCGAACAACATAATACACACCCAGATAACAATATCGTCACTGAGGTTGAGAAGAGACCTCAACGATCTGATTAGAGATATTGGTCTTACCAAGTCCAGTACATAGCTCCCAGGCTCAAGGAGTCGAACTCGTTGGATGAAAATGCGCAAGTCACGGAGCAGAGAAGGCGTTACCAACGTTTTGCCAACTGCTTTACCAAGCGAGTTAGCTGTGCTATTGCAGCAATGTTACTGGTCCCGGCAAGGTTATAGAAATCACCGGTTATCCAAGTGAATAGCGCCTATTTATAGCCGTTTCATCAAGGAATCTCAAAGCTTTTGCTTCTTAACGGGAACAAGTACCTGTTTCGCCCAATGGCACATTTTGTGCATATCAAAGAGGACTGCATCAGGGTTGAAATGTTGCTGAGTGAGTTGAAGTATGACGGCTATGGCTGAGAGGTCATTGTGGGAAAGCCTGGACATCAAAGCACACTATCATCGGAGAGATTGGCCATAGCGAACAGAATTCTAAGTGGGGGAGAACAACATCAAATGGGAGCCGCTGGTAGACACTTATAAGTTGCCGACGTCACCAGTGCGCATCAAGTTAGCCCTAATCAATTTGTAAGGGCTCTAGATAGGGAATCGGTGGCTTTCAAGCACCTTCAAGTTCTCGTTTCATAGATAGCAGAGGCAAACGTCAATGCTGGTATCTTTGTTGAACCACAGATAAAGAGTATAGAATGTGCTGATTTCGGAGTGAACCTGAATAAGACAGAGAAAGCCGCTTGGAGGGGTTTCGTTGCAGTGGTTCACGGCTTTTCGGACAATCACTATAGGCAACTAGTTAAGACTCTCACAGAGAACTTTGCTAACATGGGGTGCAGAAGGTCCCTCAAAGTCCATATTCCTAATGTTCATCTCAATAAGTTCAAGGAGAACATGGGAGCTTACTCAGAAGAGTAAAGCGAGCATTTTCACCAGGAAATACTGGATTCCGAACTTCATTAGCAAGGGCAGGATATGGAAAACATGATGGGAGACTATGGGATCCTCATGGAGAAGACGATTTACATTAGACCCGCAAAACTCAGAAAATCTACTGATTTCTGAGCAGTTTTGTTATTTTACCCATCGTCGTGTATATTTATACCAACACATTCAGTATTCTCTATCGGATCGGGAATAAAAATTCAATGCAAAAATTCGCTTGCTTTGGCTTGATGAATTCTAGTTTTGTAGGTTCTGGACATAAAATCAGTCTATGGTGAATATAGATGTTTGTTTGTACTCCAAACATGATTGCTAAAAGACATCCACAAGCACATTGTATGTGGCTTGTGGAATTATATCGCTCCTTGATAAAACCCTTGCAACCAAATGATCAGTTGAACGGTCAACTCGAGCAACGATTATGTTTGGACATTTTGCGACTTTCTGAGTCGAAAGGAAGGCCTCAAATAAGTGAGTAAAGATGTAAACTACTTGGCGGGATTTGTCCTCTGACATTGATTCACCTTCGAACATTGCCCCAAGCAGCGATAAGGGTAAAGCCAGCGGGACACCGTAAAGGAGCTGGATGAACCCAACTTACGATCCGTCTACGTGAAACAACGTCTCCCAATGACGCTAAACAGATGATGCGGGGACATTCACCTCAGGTGGTGCAGGCTTAAGCTTCAAGTACCTCGGTAATTTGATTTTGTAAAATACGACTCAAACATTGATGAAAGCAAAGAAACGGGATGCTGCGGGTATCGAAATAGGGTATATATATGGTTGGCGGCAGTCGGTTCCGGATTTGCCTGTCACTGTGGGCTCCATAGGACAGCCCCAAGAGGCCTGCATCTACACAGGGATCATGGGTGGCTTGCGGTGCACCACCCACAGCTCTATCCACAGTCATCATATCCAGTGTAAACACGAAGAATTAAGACCGGGAGGCAGGTGAATGGGAGCCACGTTTCAGCAACGGAGCTTGCCCACCCTCCTTCAACATGCACGGCAACAGCATTCCTGTCTACCTATGAAGGGAATCATGCGTACAAGATGTACACAAGGTGTTGTCTGGGCCGTAGTCGCTCCGCAATGCATGGGACCAATTTCGAGCCTAGCACGCCCACGAGGACCGTGCAAACCCCCAGCAACGATTCACAGTCTAACAGTCAGTAATCGAGATGGAGGATGTTGGACTGGTAAGCAGGTTGCCAACATTAACATCAAGCGCAGCCACACCGGGGATATCAAACAACAGCCATTCGCTTGAAATGACATTATCAAATAAAATATATCTGTTAAAGCAAACGGCTATGTAGACATAACTTCCCTAAATTAGCATATGAAGTAAGTTGGTTAGCAACGAATCCGCGATAAGTACAAAATGTCCAGAAGTTACTCAAAAAGTGCTACAAACGCAATAAAGTTACCGAAGATAAGCGCAATTAGCGTAAGCAATGTGGCCAGTTAATAGAAGACAATTCAGGTAGGCAGAACAAACCAAATAAAGTGGAATGAAATTTATCCAGTTTAAAAAGACCTAGTTTAAGTGTAAGTTGGTTTAACCCAACTGCAGTGAAGAAGCATCAGGAAAGCAACATGAGCCCCAGCATGGGACAAAATAAATTACCACAATCAATACACACATAGGATTATTCTGCAATAACCGATTACCCTTCGGGTTACTTTGCTCCGGCGATCTTGCAGATTATAGACAACTTAGGGAAAGAGATACTCGGGGTTTGCGTTTATTTGGACGGCCTTTCGGTTACTGGTCGTGCTGACTGCGGGCATATGACAGCATTCGCAACAGTCTTGAAACGCCCACAAGAGAACGGACTGAAACTCAAGGAATCTAAATGTCTTTTTCAGTGATACCGTTGGGTATTTGGAGTTTCATCTGGACAAATACGCGTTATAACCCAACCGGAAAAAATTCAACCAATTTGGATTCTTCACAACCCGAAAATATTAACGGACCAAATTAGAGTCTTCTCGCACCATTTCATACTTTGCTTCATAAGAACACCAGGTGGCTGTGGTCCAATGAACAACAAAAAGCTTACGATGCTGTCAGTTTGTTATCAGTAACGCTAATCTGTTAGTGCACTTTGATCCAACAAAATCGATCACCCTTCTTTGAGATTCGTCATGCACAGGCCGCTGTTCGACATCCACGGTGTGGTTGCGCTTGATGTGCACGTTGACAAGGTGCCTACCTGTCTATTACCCACTACCTCGTCCATCTGGCTCCAGCAGACAGTTGGTCGTTGCTGGAGGGGACGGGGCGCAAGGCCCCAGTGGTCGTGCTAGGATCAAAGAGTGGTTCCATGCAGTCAGTGTGGAGCGGACTACGGTCCAGCCACCGCTTTGTGTGCGCTTGATTCCCCAAATACAGCGTGCTTGTGTTTACCTGTGAAGGAGTGTGGGCCGGCTCCGTTGATGAAACGTGGCTCGCATCCGCATGCCTTCCGGTCTTATTCCTTCGAGTTTACACTGGATATGGGGTGTGTGGTTGAAGCTGCGGATAGTGCAGTGTAAGTCACCCATATATATATATATATATATATATATATATATATATATATATATATATATATATATATATATATATATATACTCAGTCCGTAAATAGACAGGGAGCCATCGAAAAACCATGAGGAACTAAGAGAAAAGATTACAAATGTCAAGAATAGGGAACAAATATTTTGGGCCTTTCGTTTGTTTTCACACGCCTTTTTGATGGGCTAAGAGACGTTCTGTGTCAACGGATGATCTTATAGCAATAAAAAAAGCTGCAGGAGACAAAATGTTCTCTAATCGTGTTGTCTCAGTCTTTGAGTTCATGTTCCTAAAACACGAGACATGTGTGGTCGATGACATACGGGAGGAGGCAAGAGGTAAATTATAATGAAGAACAGTTTGAAGTGTACTGCGATGTCTTCGTACCGACCGAGTGATGCTACGGATAAGAACTCAGGTAAGAATCGTGGCATCGTATCCTGTCTATGTAAAAACTTCTGTTCTTTCTGGCTCAGTGAACTGCTCGGCTATCGGGATTCACAATGCAGCCGAAGAGCGCACGCACCGTACTAAGGATGATTTCCTTCAGTACAATTGGCCAGATATGACCGAAGTTCGACTTTGTTGGACTAGCCATCATGGCTGTGGCAATGGTGACTAACGACAGCTCCGGAAACAGGGAAACGAACGACACGAAACGAGAAGGGGTAGAAAATGAAAGCGCCAAGCGGCTAAGCTACTATCACGCTCTCCCCACCGATCTGAAAGTCAAGGATCGCGAGTGTTAACCTTTTACCAGTTAGATGGAACGCATATCACCGACGAGTCCAGAAAGGACGAAACGGCCGCCTAATGTTGTTCCGGATGTGCAGTTGCTACCTGACAGTGTAACAGTGATGAATTTCATCTGAAATGAAAGGGTAGCAGTCAGAAGTGTGGGGATTGAAAGTAAAAGCATTCCGGACATCTCAATCACACCACAACAGAAAAACTCCTGATCACCGATTTTGGCGAGTCCGACTCCCCAGCCGTGATTATGATACCGGTTGACCGGAATCGAGCCTTACATTGGCTATTGCATGCCCGTATCATATTAAGGCATGCCAGAATGATGGTGCACCGCGATATACCGATTAGTTTGCTCACACAAAAGAAAGGCGAATGGGAACCAATGAAACTCACCTGTGGCTTTGTCGAACCAATCACGATTGAGAAAAACTAGGGAGGTGGCCCACAACCAACTGCCAATCCAGGCCTGTTTGCAACGTTCGACGATGGTGCGGTGTTGTTGGCGCTCCAATCGCCGTTTCTGCTTATCCGACTTGATGAGATTGCCTTTGATCGGTGTAGTGGACAGAAACTCCAAGGCAAACGGACTGGTAGAATGAGCCAGACCACGAATAAGACCGGTGTAAAATGCCAAACGACGTTTTGGGAAGCGACCTGTCAAAGCGGGTAAACCGTCGACAAATAGAACCAGCACTTGTAGGGCCGACTTGGTTTGGTCTGTTGAGGCTTGTATTAGCGCGGGAACTGCGATCACGATGAGGCGCCCGACAAGAGACAAACTGTGCACAGTGTCGAGGCGCATGAATTGAGGACTGTTTGTGACCCACTGAATGAGGCTCACGAGACGTTCGCACAAAACAACCTGAAGAGAAACGCACCGGGGGGGGGGAGATGAACGAAACGAGTTAGTCGATGACTCAGAGATGATGAACAGAGAGATGAATGGTGGAGTTGGGATTCATGCAATGTCTACACGAACGAGCAATCCCCGCAGGCTTATGACGCTCTGGCTGTGGATCCGGAAGAAGCAGAGATAATAGGTTTAGATGAACAATGAGGGAAGAATGAAAGGAACTAGTTTCCCATGGTTAAGAATGAGTTCGTCGATTACTCAACCACGGAATGAAGCATCGAGGCGTAGCGTGCACAATCTAGTGTTAATTTTGTCGTCACGGTACGAAACCTAACATCGGTGGTGGAAATTGGAGAGAAAAGAAAACAACTCGATCGGGAAGTGATCGAACAAATGTGACGATCATAATCAGAATGGCTAGAGGTCGGATAGAGAGCGGTGCGATGCACACGAGTATACTAGCCAAGCATACTAAAGGACAGATGCAATAAATGGTACCCAGGATGCCACAAAAAGCACACCACATTATCATAATGAGATTAGCTGTGAATCTGTCAGTGACATGCCGCAAAACGGATAATCGTTGTAGGTTAGATATGATGCTAGCGAACACACTAGGTGTATTGCTCACAATGAAGCGAAGAGACTCAATTGCGTCGAGGTTTGACTTACTGGGAACATAGCCGCCAGCTCGACGAAACACAACAACACCTGCTGATGTAGAGCAGCCCAATCCGGGTAGGTTGGCAGGCACTGAAACACAGGATCCACAGCTGACTGTGCAGCGAGGAGAGCGGTGGATGTGCTGTGAGTGTCCGGAGACGATGGAACACGCAAACGCCGAGGACGCCTTTTCGTAGATGTGCGGTTAATTTCTGCAAGAATGGCAGTCATACAGACTAACAAACGATACACGCAGTGGCGAACAAGTGACGGCATACAGGGAGAGAGTGAACCAACGCATTTGGGAGTATCAGCACAGCCAGACAAATCGAGGTCCATAGGAAGTGGTCCAACTGAAGTATCAGCATCGTCATCAGACTCAGATGCACTCGTGATCGACTTTGGAGAGGCCGAGGTGTGAGCCTCATTGAGTAGACTGAATCATGGAGAGAGGGAGTAAAGGGTTTCCAAAAAACATCAAATCACCACAGAATGCACGGTAGTGCTGCAAAAAGTACGCGGGGAAGGAACAGCTTACTTTTGGGTAAGAAATCTGTTGAATAACAATGAACCCGTTGCCGATCCAAGCGGGAAAAGAAAGCCATAATAATGTAACACCCAGAGGATTATAGTCAACTGGATTTTATGCACATGTCCCGGATTTTATTGCCGCATTGTTTGCAAGAGTGGAATACAAAGATGAAACATGCAATTGAGTGTATGCGTGTTTTTTGACACAAGGGAGCAGATCTATCCTCGGTGACCAAACACGCGGGGGAGGTAATTTGATATCTTTTGATGTATTTGTCCCAGCAGTTCACATGCTACATAGCACAATCCTTATCCGGAAATGCACCAGAAGCGCGTTTCGCCCTATTGGGTCAGTGGTGGGTATCCTTCGGTCCCCTATGGGGATCGAATCGATGACCGTTAGAGCCTGACGCCAACTAGCTGGCGGCTTAAGCCACTGAGCCATGAGGACGATGATTAAATTACATAATTTGCAAACTAACTGGGATATAGCACGACCTATGCTCTACTGTCACGCAGTCTCCCATCAGTGCAGATGACAGTGATTGGCCTTCGAGGTCATGACCTCCTCTTACTAGATGCTATGTCCATAGCAGGTGAAACTAAGAGGGTAACATTTTATATTGGTCATGAGTAGCTTGCAAATTATATAGCACAACCACAGTTCGCCATGGCTTACGCTGCTGGCTAGTTGGCGTCATCCTCTAGCGGTCATGGGTTCAATTCCAAGTAGAAGACCGAAGGATGCGGACCAATAACGAGCCCCAACGGGCGAAACGCGCGTCTGGTGCTTTTCCAAATGGGGATTGTGCTATGTAGCTTGTGAGCTGCTGGGACGAGCACATCAAAATTGCTTCTAAGATCCCCTCACTTGCGAGTAATCTTGAGATCGTCGCCGTCAGACTGAACCAGACATTCACCACACGCTGTCTTACTGAAACTTGTTGATAGCGAATATTCACCGAATTCCAGGGAAGGTGAACCCATGACTTTTCTCTTATGAGTCAGCGGCTTAAGCCGCGGAACCATGAGTGAGTCAGAGGGGTTTTAATCCAACAGGATTTATTGGAGACGTACTGCTGACAAGTTCCAATAGGACGAAACAGCGGGGCCATCGTTTATCTGAGCGTGTAGTGATTGTTTGCGTGAGTCTGGATGCAATGAGCCTTCTTTGAAAGACGCCAAACATTTCCCTGTTACTTCTGACAGAACGGATAACCGGGATGAGCTCGGATGAAGTGATGACACCTCGGAGAAACAGCGAGCGAAATAGAAGCGACAAGTACACTGAAGCAATCGGGAAAAAGTTGATCATAGGCCCATCGCACACATACACAGACCAAATGCAGCAAAACGAATCGTTGTGATTGTCAGCGTGAATAATCTGCACAGAGGAAAAGGAATCAGCCGAGTGTCATAACAGTAGGCGGATCAGTTCAGAAGGCAACGAAAAAAGAGATCCAAGAAATGTGCTAAAATCCGACCGATCCCACGAAGTCAGAACTGCAGAAGTTTTCGCTTTCTCAGGTGGGGCAGGGGGGCAGAAATAAAAGCGATGTTCCTTGAATATGTCGTGTGATCTAATAAGGCACGTAATGTTGAATTGTAAGGGCACTATTGTCCTTGACGAAATTCAACCACTGGCTCAAAACGAACGACGTGGAATTCTTCTCGCTCTGACGTTATTAGCCGTATCACAAAATGCTCAAAAGGGATGTTTAGAAAAGGTGTCATGCACGTAGATGAGGCAAAAAAGGAGAGGATTCGAGCAATCCAAAAATCAGACAGGACATTCACAAATGCAATCGAAAGTGCAAACACAAATGAGCCTAGGCAGATGGAGACTGCTGAATAACCTGCAAGAGAGTATGGATCAAGAGTAGTGAAAACAGACAAACACTTAGAGAGCTGTATCTGGGAGGCACCACGTTTTATATCGCTACCGGCTGAAGGCGAAATGTGATACGACAAGGCGGCTGTTGCGTTCTGGATGAAATATTTGAGACCACTGATCGACTGAGCTTATCAAGTGACGATGTGTTGCTCGTAAAAATCGTCGTAAAGGAGCGACTCGAAGTCTGTAGAGAGCAACTTATTGAAAAGGAAGAAATGTTAACCAGTCCATTCAGTCGCCATTGACAAACCAAGTTCTAAGGATGGAGAGACGGTTGCAACGAATGTTTAAGCTAGCGAGTGCACTTGTATGAAGAGAGAAGCAAACTGGTACCACTGGTCCTATAGACTATACACAGAAAAGCTCAGAAAACACTACGAAAGCAGTATTACCTAACGAGGTGGTTCACCAGTGGGGTAAGCAAGACAAGAATCGAAACACCGTCTGGCTTCTGGCTGGACAATGTGCGGATTGATCTGGAATTCACAGTCAAATCTGGGGTGAGTCTAGAGAGTATGTGTAAAACGGAATCGTTCTGGTCGGATTTTGCGGACTGCAAGGACCCAGAAGAATGCAATCGCTCAACGGAGTCGGTAATAATGATTAGCAGCGATCCGAGTAGCTTCAAACGTTGGGTACTCAGTCTGGTGCTGTGTATGTTCGTCAACTTGGTCACTTCTGTGGAGTCTTCTCCAGCTGGGGTGTTCGATTGCTTCAATTGCTGGCGGCGGTGCTCGCTGAAACAATAAAAACATGCCGAGATGAAGGTAGGAGGCAGATTTAATACAGAATATTATGGAACAAGGATGGCTTACACGATGAAAACAAACCAAATATACGATGAGATGAATCCTCCCAGAGTTCAGAACAGTAAGGCTGATAATAATAATAATAATAATAATAATAATAATAATAATAACTGGTGTATTCTCAACAACGTAAGACGGTCCAGCCAAATTGAGCTTCAGTGGGAAAGAACTTGGAAGGTCATTCTTCCGGAAATTTCCGGCGAAGAAAGAGTGTGAATCTGTGTGCCATTGGCGCGCCCATAGTGAGTCCAGTGTATGGCTAGCGTCACCCGCAACAACAGTAGTGACACATCAATTCTCCTCGCAGGTGCCGCGTAACAATAAATTAAGTAAAACGATGGAAGGGAGAAGGAATAGGGAAAAGGACGAAGAACGAGCTGAAGTCAGAGACAAGTTTAAACATGCAAGATCAAGACGTCTAACCCATTCCAAAACCGTGTGATGATGTTCATGTGTCAGTCGAACTTGGTGGACAGGTTGCGAACGTTGCATCACCATCATCAGCGCGTCATAACAAGTGACGCTTCTCGTTCATATTGGTCCTTAAACACATTTCGGTTGTTGGTAAGCGGAATGTGACACGGTGAGAGATGACTTGCAACGTACCGCAAAGAATGGCTGCGGTATACAGTGCCAGTTGAAGGGAACGTATGGCAACTGAGGAAGATCTGCGTGATGAACCGATCTCAGGACGTTTGGGTAATGCAGCAGCAATGTCGATAACGAAGCCTGAGTCCTTGGAGGTTGTGTGGAACCGCCGCTTACGATTATCGACATCCGAGATGCACATACATACCGGCAGCTTACGAATCATTCTGTCCACCGCTGATCAGTGATGATGCCGTGCGTCAATGATGAAATGCTTGAAATGGACCTATCAAGTTGGACCGGCATGTGTGTATTGCAACCAGTCAGGTCAGAACATGACGGCAGGTAGGCGTTGGTTACATGCAAAGATGTGCGACATTCCTAGTCAAGCACACAGCGGGTCAGGTGGACGCTGAATCAGAAGGGGAAAATGGCGAACAGCATCCGATGCAGCAGTCAGCGAGTGCAGTTTATATTAACAGCCTAATGGGTCGATGGATTAGATACGAGGCAAATATACGTCTGGTCAAGTTCTCGGCATCATACCGGAGCCTGATTCGCTTAATTAAACACCTTGAATTGCTGGTCGCTTGCGGAAAGAAAGTCGATATAAAATAACCGCAGATTCTCAGCTATTCCATTTGCGGATTTTACATTTTTCTCATTCGACTTGAATCATCATGGCCACTACTGTTATTACAAATAACTTGTTGGTTGTGTTATCGTAAGTGGGATCTACCAAACCTCCGTGTACAGATCGAGACTGACAAACGTTCTTAGCTCCAGGTTCGGGAGAGAGAAGGGGAAGAAGTGGCGCTAAGGAGTCAAAGCAGTTGATCGTGAGACAATCAAACCTTGACAAATAGCAGAGAGACAGGCAAGTATCATACAGGAAGCGCAACAAAGATAAGCTGGCAAAATCAGGTGGAAATAAGGGGGAACTGAAGCGCGAAGGAAAGCCAGGGGAAATAAACTGATAACATCGCATCGATCTAAGTGCAAAATGATGCTTACCGAGCTTCAATTACTCGAGCGTAGAGTGATTTATTGGCTGAGTGTGCTATCGCAGCTCTGGAGGTGTCCAACTTGACAAGAAGGTAATCCAAATGTTGAGTACCCAATGAAAGCTGAAAAAATGAGCAAGAATGCCATAGAATGAAAAAGACGTGAGCGTGCGCGGCGACCATAAATCAGCAACGGCTATTTGTCCGTAAAAAAACACCAGAAGGCCAAACAGGAAAGGTTTAAAAAAACCACCGATGACCGAGTAGTACAGGGCGTCTGCCCACCACCAATTGGAAACCGCGTAGATGAAGGGGACCGCGCAGCATCTCAAGTCCCGCGAAGGTTGATGGTATCCAGGACGGCATAGCGGTGTAATGCTGATACCAACAGGCTGACGGTTGAATTAGTTAGTGTTGTTTAATCAAAGCCTCAAGGCTATGTGAACGTACCTAAGCTAGGAGAAAGATGATTCAAAAGCCACTGTGTCAGCACATACTTTCATAATAAGTACACAAAAGCAGCAGCAATACGCCGGTACGCAATACCGACGCTTCGCTGCCGCACAACCACCACCAATCGCACGTGGGCCAAGGATACCGCGAGGATCGCCCTGCCCCTATGCACGTTCGAACTCGCGTCCTCAAATTAGAAGATAATCTCGTTACCTTTAGGCTCCGGGCCGCAAAGGAAACCGGTCACAGAGTCAATCAATACCAATACTGAATCAATGGACAAGCTAGCAAGTGAAATGATTTTCCCCGCCTAAAAAGTTTGGTAAATGTAGCAATTATCTTCGGGGAACCAGGTTATACGCATTAATTACATCATGCGTTGTTTCATGGACTAGTGTGGCAGCATGCTTAACGCCTTTAACTAAAACTGAACTTGTGCAGGTCGTGTGGAGAAGGCCAAGGCCTGGAATCCTTCTTTTAGCCTGAACATAAGGTAGTATTTTGATCATTTAACCCAATAATCAGTAGGTGAATGCTTCATAATGCGTAAGTCCGGATGTTGTTCTAATAACAGTGGTTCCAGTGGCACAACAAATCCTTTGAAAGTAGAAGTGTTGTGGGAGGGGGTGGTTAGTCACTCCTGGCATCAGCAGTACGCCGGTGCGCAGTACCGACGCTTGGGGACCTCGCAACCAGCACAAGTGGCACACTGACTAAGGATCCTGTGAGAGTCGCCCGGTTTCTACGCAGGTTCGAACACGTGTATTCGGATTACTAGGCAGGCCTATGATCCTTAAGGCTACGGAAAGGACGAGGAAAAAAAGTTAAAACTGAGAATCATATCACTGGTTGTATAATAACACACTCTTGTTAGCACTGTTTCGACCAGGTTGTAGTCGGACGTCTCCGCCATCGCCAGGTCATGCAATGCATCCAGCAACTGCAACTGAGCACTGCCCGTTTCTCCCGCTAATCCCCCGTGAGGTGTGCCTTTACTGGAAGTCAAAGAACGCAATGTAGAGAACAGGTCAGGGGTGAGGAGTGAGAGGCAAGCTGAGTGGAGAGCCGGGTAGACAACGCTCCCGCGTCGAATGAGGTCCAGAAATTCCACCCAAGCACTGGATGACCGGACGTGGAAGAGTTCGCTGATGCCACTGTCCGATAGGAAACGCAGGCCGTACGTCCACAAGAGCACTGGTATGTCCATAACTCCAGGTGAGAAGGATAAGGATTCACTGAAAAGAGAAAAAACAACAAACGCGAGAAGAAAAGTGAGAATGAGGAGCTATGTATTTAAATGTTCACAAGTAGCCGTACACAGCACGGTAACGTGGATGTACAGTCGTGCACGCAAGGCAAGCTGAATAGTATGATCCCACTGGCAACTGAAAATAAAACAAGGTGGAGGCAATTTCGAGAGAAGAGGCCGATAGGTGAGTGAAATCAAGAACCTTTCGAGCGGCCGCGCACAGGGCACAAGAACGCAGATGCTGTTCGATGTGGTTAGCGCATGGGTTCACACAGGCTAGCCAAAACGAAGTCAATATGTATCTGTCCGCAGCCTCAACAACAAGCGGAAAGTTATGAGGATAAGTGGATGTTAGCCCAATGAACGGGAACTTGTTCTGAAGAGAAAATTACATAACAATCGAGTGATCGACATCCTAGCCGGACTTAAGATGTGAATACAGTGATGCAATCGTATCAGCTAGGCACTGCGGAAAAAGCGAGCATTGAGAAGCGACATAAGCATGTCCGGGCTCCACATTGTTCTCCATTCGTTGAATGGCGCGTGTGCACTAAACGATATCAAGAGAGGAGCACAAGCTATGGTCAACACTTTGAGTCGAGCTTGAGAGAACCGGGGTTGATAGCGGTTTCGGTTGAACATTCGTACCACCTATCGTTCACAGAGTCCCTCGAAAACTTCTGATAAAAGGTGCAGTGAAAGCATCCGAAGGAGCACCGTTACTTCACGACCTGAGGCTGAGACACATTGAGTGGCCCACCAAATGGCACGAAATGTGAGTTGTCCACAGTCGGAAGATTGGTTGAGAATGCACATCGGTTGTCAACACCATCAGCACCATCATTCTACACGCTAGCCAGAGGGTGAGACATATCCCAGTTATTGTGCCGCAAAATCAGTCAAGCACGTAGCGGAAAAAACAAAGAGAAATTAAGCTATTAGCATGCTTTGTTTTATTTCACGCAATGGAAACGAGATCGTGGTTGGATAGGAGGTTAAACGGGATGGAGCGAGAGAAATAAAATTCACAACACAAACGTCACCTGGCTCTTCGCGAGGTTAACAAGTATTTTGGAACCTAAGCAGGAAGTCTAGAGGAGCCAACAGGCCAACTTCGAAGTGGGGGTCTTCATTCCTTTTGACCAAGCCATCGCTTGGTCTCCTCTCCTCTTTTTCCATCCACACCCCGATCGAGCAAACAACGCACGTCGCGGGATCCAGTGCGTTGGCAAGCGGAACATGTGGCCCAGCCATCGGAGTGTGATGCATGATATAACGGTTCTCAGTGATTCACTTGCTCTTTCTGTGTCAAATACGAAGCACCGAACAGGCTCATTGTGCACGCAGAGATCCCACCAGCTATGAGTTGGGCTGCGAAGGCAGCGGTGGTCGAACGTAACACGTCGGGTTACGTCTGTTGATTTTGTGATGAGGGTTGGACGCACGGCTATCGCGCCGGCGCCACAGGTGGCGAAAACTAATAAAATCACTTTGATCTCTTTCTGCACGATTGTGGTTTCATATTCCATCCAACAGGCAATGATACAGCCGCCCAGGTAGTTCGATTTCTGAATGATGTCTAACTGATCCCAACTAAAGGCGAGTGCAGGGAGATGTCCCATCCAAACTTGAAAGAAAACTTTGTACTTGGAGTCGCAAAGCATAGTCCGAAACGACTGACAAACAGTGCCCAGTTCTGTTTGGTGCGTTTCTGAGCTATCATAGATCAATTTGTAACACCAAACACAATACGAAAGTTAGAATGACCGGACTGGTTCAATGGATGTGTCAGAAAGACGATGAATTTCCTTGATGAAAGCGACAATTTCCAAGGAAACTAAGGCGAATTGATGACAACCAGTGGACGCAACCGACTCGTTACTGTAGGCTGGAAAACGCTAAGGGATGTTGCAACCTAGTTACAGATCAGTCAAATCGGAGTGAATTGCTGCTTTTGATAGTCAATGGGGCGGCTCTAAAATCTATAGAATCTAAATCTATCTATATACAATCATAACAGCGAAAAGAACTTCTACATGGGTGCACTCTGACTGTATACTAGTTTCGAGGAGTGGATAAGGTATGCGAAAGTAATAAGTTTCGAGCTTTTAAGTTGACTAGGAAAGATACTTGAAGACTTTACAATGAGGCGCATTTGTGTTGTTGCAAAACCTGGAACGAACTAGGGATCAGTGTTCAGGTAAGGACAAACACATAACAAAATAGATGGCAACGATGGTACTAACCTAAACAGTAAATGGATGGCAACCTTGACTAGCCGAGGCGCCGAAGTGCCCAAATTAAAGAGAGGATCACCCAGTAACAGGCCCTCCAATGCCTCGGGTAACAATTCAGTTGTGTTTGTGATAGGATTCACTGCGCCAGTTGCCCCAAGGAGGCGAAGTGTCTCTGTAAGAAAAGGATTGATTGTTTCATCCGCAGTCCACCCGTTGCGCGTTAACTCGGCTAGCCAGAAAGCCAACATACGGTAAACTTCGGTTCGAACGGAAGCGGCAGGGTGCGACAAAAATGCGATCAGTAATGGTAAAGCTGGGAGATAGAAAAGAGAGAGGAGGGATAGTTAGCAACATGCCGGAGCTGGTGGAAAAACAACATGGCAACGAGATATGGGCTGAAAAGGTGAGGCGGACTCACTCACCTCGGTCCAATCCATGTTCTAATGTGCGTTGGGTCTTTGAGAAAGACGGCCTATATGAAGGTGTTCGTTGGTTGGAGGGGCTCTTAGCAGCACTTGAAGATCGAGTGTTCGGTGGTGAGAAAGGTAAACGAAAGGCCTCGACGTGGGCTGCTATGGCTCTGCGCGTGCACTCGAGTAGCCGATGAGTTCGACGAAGATCAAATCGTGAAGCGGCAAATGAACTTGAAGATGCCGACAATAGTACAGGGTACAAGAGATCACACAGCCAGTTTTGATCACAGTGAACACTGGATAGCTTGGGGCAAGGGCACTGTTCATTGTTGAAGAGACAACCACCTCCGGGATCAGGAAGTGAAGCTATCAGAGCATGAAGAACGTTCAACTGTGACTGAAAATCCGGAAGAAGTTCGACATTATCAGGAACGTGAGCAGGCGTGATGGCAGCTCTGGAGGTAGGTTCGGGGATTTCAAGATCCACCAACTGGAAAAGAGCAAGAAGATGGCAAAAACGGTTAACTACGAATGAATCTTATGAAAATCTCTAACCGTATAAAGAGATGCTAAACACTTACCATGGTCGCTGCCTGCACGTGTGGCTTGTTTTTCAGAGCATCTACGGCCAACTGATTGGCATCCGACTTTTCAATAAGCAGATTCTCCTCTGCCTCGAGTAGTTCGCGTTCGGACGTGGAAAGTTCTGCGCACAGTTTGGAGTATCGCTTGGCAAATTTCTCCGGCAGCAATGGGATCTGTTGGTGCCTCATTAGTTTTATGATGACACGCAGAGACTCCCAAGCATTGGTGGGACGACTGTGTCGCAGCAGCGCTTCGATCCAGTTGAGAATCAGAGTGTGATTCAGCCTCAGCTTCAAGCTTAAACGAATTGCTATCAAACAGGCGGCTGATTGGAACGGGGGACAGTGCTCGGCACGTAACCCTGACTGAATCACATATTGGAATGAATCGACCACGTTGGCCAGTTGGGTATCCGGGATGCCCTTGTCGCACAGGGCAGTGAGAGTAGAGAGGAAGAAATTTGCCAGATCGTTTAGGCGGCCGGGATTGCACTCTTTGGAGAGCTGGAAATGAGAGAGAAAGAAGGGTTAAGTGCAGTATGGGATGCTCGAAGGGACACAAAATATGAATACCTGGAGATGGATGAGAACAAATGTGATGAATTAGTTGATTACTGGTTGGAGAAATTCCAGACACAAAGAGTTCGAGGTGGTGACGGTCACAAAAAGCACCCTTTACATCTACCAATGCGATGAATGGATGGCAATAACAGGCAACGGGAGAACCTTGAGTTGATAGAGGAAGAAAAGGCACCACCGGTGCTGTAGAAACAGCCACACTAGTCAACAAAAGCACGTAAATGGGTAACACAAAGAGATGTTCGATTCCGAAGTGCAAGTTATGAAAGTGCATTCGTTGGAGAGAGGTAGGATGTCTCTGATGTTGAGGCTTACCACAACCAAACTCAGCTGTTGATTGGTTTGCCGAGCGTGACTAAATGGCTGCATACGCTCCGTTACCATACAACGTACCATCGTCAGTGAGGTGATGCGCGGTAGGCAATCTCACTGATTGAATCGTTCATCCGTGATCGACGGGCAGGTGGCTTGAAAGCGACATCTTCGATTTGCACCTCGTGATGTTTGTCCACTTACCCTTGAGGCTGAAGCGGTCGCTCAAGTTGTTAGCCGCTCATCTTTCAAACTCTGCATTTGGATTCACCGGAGAGTATTGAGTTGCTGATACATGGGGTCGATGTCAATGCGCATGTTGATCGAATTAATAGATGACCAAGTTTCCAGGAATTCCCTTCCCTTCTATTTGAGCCGGAAACTCCATTTTGTCCCAGTGGAGGCTATACCCTTACTTATCAACATGGGTTGAGACTAGTGATGATGCATAATGTATTTTGCAAACCGTTTGATGTTATGGCATCCTGATCGATAATTTCCTTCCTATCTGGTCTGTTCTAGAGTTCTTTTCACACTTATTGCAAATTACTATGTACACCACGTATGTTCACGAATTTCTCGGTTGTCCTTCGGATTTGACAATGTTCTTCTCAAAGTAGTAGTTGGTTTGAGAGGAAACATGATATGGTTGTTTGTACAATCCAGACGCCATTTCAGATCAGCTCTTCATGTACAGTAAAAAAGGATCCGCTTGTTTATCTTTGGCATCGGCTCGGTTTAAACATCTGCGGATGAAGCTGTGTGGGTATCCGCTGGGTTCCAAAGAAATGTGCAGGTGTTTCCCTTCGCGTTCGCGGTACTGCAAAAACGTTATGTATCCTCAATGGTCTCAGCTTATGCGGATGAAGAAGAACATAGCTTCGATTGGAACAAAACGGTTTCTGGCTTAAGTATAGACATAAAAAGGAAGCGAATTCTTACAAGCTTGGTCATCCTCTAATGATTCGATCAACATGTGCGTTGACATTGATCATATGTTCCCACAACTCAGAAAGAAAGATCTCTGACGAATCGAAATGCAGAGTTTGAAAGGAGATGCGGGACGAACAACTCGAGCGACCGCTTTAGCCGCAGAGGAAAAGTGGCAAACATCACGGGGTGCGAATCAAAGATGTCGCTCCCAAAAGTCACTTGGCCGTCGATCACGAATAGACGGTTCAATCAGCGAGATTGTCCAGCGCGCATCATCGCAGTGACGATGCTACCTCGTATGTCGCCGAAACGTATGGAACAATTTAATCAAATTCGGCGAACCAATCAACAGCTGAATAACTAACCCAGGATGCCAGTGTTTCAAATTACAACCATACGCAACCAGACAGCCACCACAAGTCGGAAGCCGTTCTGCCATATTGGGACTAGTCGGCCGTGCGCAACTGCTGAATCCCACTAAGATTCAAGCATGTGATACTGCGCATATGAGCCGATGACTTGGGCTGTTGAGCCACGGGCGATAAAGGTGGATCATACTGACTGATTACTAGCTGCGATATACCATGGTTTATTCTCCTATACTATGGAAGCTGATGCCATGCAGGAAACAGGACTAGCCCCCAGAGTCACGGCTTGCCTCGCAGAGCCGTCAAATCCGTGGCTTAAGTCGCTAACTCGTAAGAAAGAAATCATACGTCGTAAGCTCACGGAACACGCAATCCTGATAAGACCCAATAAGACGTGACGGTCGATCAGCGCTATTATGTCCGCAGTGGTCACTTGGCTGAGTTTGGTTGCGATAAACCCTCACAAAAATGCACCTGATGAAGACGAAAAAATCGACATCAATGAACAGGAGGAGGGGTTGCGTAAAGAAAGCATTGATGATGCTTGCCAATTTAGCAAGCTTGGCACACCATCGGCTAAGCTGTGTCTGGAGCGTTGCGTCGTTAGCTCATGCTAAAGGCCAGTGTGTGTAAGTTATCAAACCTCAGTAAGCATGAAACAGTCCGATCGCTGGGCTTAATAATAGCAGCCACCAATGCAAATGATACGAAGAAAAGGTCACCGACTCACTTTAATGGCATTCAAAAATAGCCCACATAGGAAGGGGATTAATGACGGTTGACGAAGGCATTCGCGAGACAGCTGAGGTCGTGACATACTTTTACCAGCCTCCTAAAGCAGGAAGTAACAGAAGAGGAGATCAATGAAACATGTATGAACAGTGATGAAGTTGGGTTTGACGGAAAAGATGACTACGCTAAATATGAGAGACACAGTTCAGTTGAAGGACCATGATCCGGGCACCGAAGTGTGGTGTATAGAGTTACCACGACATATGCATACAGAATAATAATAATAATAATAATAATAATAATAATTGATGACAGTAAGGGAGCCTGAACGCAAATGTAATACCAAAAAAACGGAACCAAGAAAAGAGGCCCCTTACCAAAAACGGACTGGCGGAACTCAGTATTGCACACCCGGTGTCCCCATCAGATAAAAGCAATACTCCAGAAGTAACGGCGATCAAATACGAACAAATGTTTAATGTCTTCATTGAGAACTAACTGATCAGGTCTCTGATCGATACAGAAACGCCGGCCTTATCGCAGGCTGATATCCAGCCGTCCCCAAGGTGATTCAGTCTCTAAAAATCCACACGGACGTTGTTGATATGCGTAACAAATATCTCAGTGATGTGACCGCCAGAGGTGATACAATTACCAAGATATGTGAAACAATCCACCACTTCTAGTGGATGTTCGCTAATAGCTAAAACCAATAGTGTATCGGTTCAGTCTTGCACATTTCGACAGTGCAAAGCTCCTGCCGAAGCGTGTAGCGTTACGCGTCAGTCTGTTCAGTAGTTCCGTCATAGCAGAAGAAATAAAAGCGTCAGCGGTACGCCGCTAAGCATTATCGATGCTTCGCTGCCGTGCAACCACCACGTCGCACGTGGGCTGAGAACACTGCGACGGTCGCTCGGTCCCCTACGCAGGAGATATGTCATGCGCATACACAAGGTTTGTCAAGTGGTCACTTGGCAGAAATTCCACTCAGGAAGTGTCTAAAGAACAGTCATTCATGATCATTTCGATCACTAAGTTGAAGAGGAAATGAGATTTAAAAAACCCTGGCGAACCCTACTTGTCGTGGGGAACGCAAGAGAAATTTCTGCAAACGCTCATCGGGCCTAAGGAGTCACGGTAGACAGACTTGGGAATGGAGAAAAGTCTCCAGACACTACCATCACAAATAAGCAGTGCCACGAGCTGATTCGACCAAAAGAAAGGCATCGGCAGTACGCTGATGCACCGCACAGATGTTTCACTGCCACGCAACTACCATCAGCCACGAGCGGGCTGGGTATATTGCAAAGCCGCATTCAGCTACGTGATCAACAGTCGAAGGCGGCTTTGAAATCAAGGAAAACCATCATAGTCTGTCGTTCGTAAATATGTCTGCTTTAACACTTGATAAAGAGTGTACAGGTGGTAGATGCAGTCACGATCAGGACAGGGGCTAGCCTGCCTTTCAGTGAATGGGCACTCACGAAGACCAACATGTAGTCGGAGAATGATGCCCGTGAGAAGTTTGGAGACAATAGAAAGAAAGCCGGTGTCTCGATAACTTTAGCATAAGATCCGTTGACTCTTTCTGAAGACGGGCACAATAGATGACAGTCACCAACCCGAAGGAAGCTCTTCAGTGTCCCATATCGTGCTGAATAAAGCAGTAAGTTCAGTCACCTCCACCATACACCAAAGATGAAGGTCGTCGGGTGCAGGAGACTTGCTTCGTTTCAACACGGCGATCTTATGCCGAATCTTTTGCAAAGTGGGAAGCGTGACAACTACTTCCCACGTCCGCTCAGTTGATTCGACAAGCGGCAGTGCCGCAGCAGGCCTAGTGAAAGGCTCTTCAAAATGTTCCGCCAAAGGGGCTAGTCGACGCGGATGGGAATGGATCGACTGTCCATTTTTATTAGCTTTTGTCTCATTGAATGAGGGCATGTTTGGATACGTGTTCCGGGTGAGTTGGAATAGCACTGACTTTCTCCATCACACGCGCTTTTGCCACCAACCAACGTTCCCGGACAATTCGAAGAATCCTTGTCCGTCGGCGTTTTAGGGTGGTATGGACACGCTGAAATTCAGTACTAATTGGAGGTAGCTTGCGTGCTCCGAGCAAAATGATCTGTGCCTCGGAGATCCACTCATAGTTCGGTCGTCTCAAGTTGAGAATATAACATGCGTCAAAAGCATTTTTTATGGCCCATTTGGGACGATTCCAGTTAGCTCACCATCCTTATTCACCAATGATAGCGGCAGCCATTCCAAACAACGGTTCAGGGGACTGCGATAGAATGCACACACGAGCAGCTCTCCGTACCTAAGAGGGATCGAGCAGCACAACTGCTCAGATAGACCATCTCCGCTTCGGTGGACGCTCATGAGTCTCCCACACAGAGAAGACCGGATGTAGAGCAAGATGCCACCGTGGGCATTCGATAGCCTATCCCAGTGGAAGTACGAGTAGTCATTAATCTCAACTTCCTGAGTGAGTACCTCATCGTTCAGCCACGTCTCTGCGACTACTACATCTGGTCAGACGAAAGCAAAGAAACTGTACAGCTCACTGCGCTTGTTCATAAGACTTCGGACGTTTGTAAAGGCTACACGCAGGCTGTGGTAAGAACTAACAAGCGAGCCTGAAGTGTGAGCGACCGATTTATCCGAATTCGTGATCGTGTTTAAAAGTTACAATACGTAGGTTTGTTTATCCTTCATCAGTTCACCGCTTTAGCTCGATGATGGCACAGTTGAGACGCCCCGGTCAGCTTGATCGATATCCGGACGAATATGCACGCTATCGCCTCTCCATCTACCCAGCCGAGACAGTTATGGCTTCGTGCTTGTCTCGTCAGTAAAAGTTATTCGAATGAGTAGGTCTTCCTTAGCAGTGTTTTTGCCAAGGTGGATGACTGGCTTCACTTTCACTCTCTCACCCACATCGAGGAGCCTATCAACCAGACGCTGTAGAAACACTACGTCATCAACATAGCGTGCCTGAAGATTTGGATCGTTGGACTCAGGCGCGTGAAAAAGCATCAGATTTTATTGCCTCTTGTCATTGAAAGTGGTTCCTGCGGGAGAAGGGTGGACTCGAGCGTTGCTTGATCTAGTCTGTTGTTGGTCAGTAGAAGGAAGCTTTTCTTCGTTTCGCCGCTTCTTCCGTCGGCGAGTTTTCCACGGCTTCTCATGTATTGGGCCTTCATCTGCGTCACTAGAGCTAGCAGAGCGCAGTTAGCGGATCATTAGCTTCAGTTAGTGTCGTGTTTCCGGAAACATTAGGATGGCGAGGTAATGAATTGTCAGAGGGCGTTGAATGGGAGGATGAGCTTAGGGCCAATTCGCGAAACGATAGGTCTAGGACTACTCACAGTTAAACGATTTTGGTCGCGACCTGCATCGGTAGACGTTATACGTTACTCCTGCTTTCTTAGACTGCGACATTTATTGCAAAAAATTTGGATGAAATCATGTTGGATAGAACGCAGAAGACGATAGGAATCGACAGATAATCCAATACACGAAATATGAAATCTAGCACAACAATCAAAGCATGTAAGGGCATTTGATGTGTTTCCAACAATTTTCTAACAGGAACCACAAGGTGAGTACTTCGGCATTTTGGAAAAATAATGCAAAAGTGCAGTAAAGTAGGAAAGTAGAATTTGCAAAACGGAATTACGAAAGCTGTGGGAAGATACCATACAAAATATGATCCAGAAGTTGCAGACTCAGAAATCAAATTGAATGATTCCGAAATGTTCACAAAATAATTCCAATATGCCGGTAAATCCACAAATGAGGATCCTGACAACGCAGGCACGGAATAAGCAACCGGTTGTTAATCGCAGTCCACTCGGCCCGCCTGGGTGAAAGTCAGGAATCAGGCTCAAATGATTAACAGGAGGCTTGCAAACCGTGGAGAGCTAGCGTCGTGATGTGAGACGTTGTTCTGAAGTCAGATGAAGTGTAAGTATATAGTCAACGAGTTTTCGAACGAGGTGCGACCAGCGCGGCCTAGGACTATCCGACCTCCGTGAGGACCAGTAATCCGTAAAGAGTGATTATGCATGGCATAGAGGCGGCAGTAGTGACTCGGATGCCTCGATAATGTTTAGACAGCGGCCGTTGGATGACGACGATGAACATTGGTCATTACTAGTCACGAGTATCCTTGGTGTAGATTCGCAACAATAAAAACCCAAGGATCCCCATCACTTGCGCGTAATAGAGCACAGCGACACAAATGCCCCAAAGTCAAAACTCTATAAGCTAGATCCTCAAAGCGCAGATCACCTATGCACTTGCACTAACAGTCAACATATGCCGGAAACAGACCCAAGACTGGGAGTGCAGAAGTGTGCCAGGTATAGACGCAAAGGGCGGTATGCAATACAGTGAAGGAGGGGGACGGTCGTTGGTAGTAGCAAGTGTAGAAGAAGGAGCGCATGCGATTAAAAGTGCCTTTGCGGTTCAGTTCGTATCCGATGGGCATGTATGTTAAACAGTATTTAGTCCCCCAAGGAATAGCGCCAGCAATGCAGCCAGAAGAGGGGAAAACATCTGAGAGGCAAACTTCAACAGGACAGAGTAAAGAAGTCAATTTCCGTCACGATACCATTCATGACATAACTATCGACTTCATAAGTTTAGAAAGCACATGATATTACTCTAAGTTAAACGACAAGCCCTAAGCCTGAGCACCTCTTTCAAAAGAAGTGGATGTTCCGGGAAAACATTAAAGCTACCGGCAACACAAACGGACACGGAAGTGGATAGACGACCAGGAAATGTAAATCGGTACGAAGCTAGACAGTGTATACGAAGCTCTGCAGATCGAGTCGGCAGTAAATCTTACACAGACAGGGTGGAGAGGCGATCACTTGGTGGATCCATGTGAGTCAATCGACAGCTGGCATTCAAGGCGGGATACGATCAATAGCCACTCGAATCTGGTATTGGCTCATGAGGCTCTGCGATTCAGACCTTGAAAGTCACATTGATGATGTTGCCTAACTTGCCAACGAAACGTTTGCAACTGAAGCGTTCAGCTCGGAGAACATAACTATCCTCTCATGCACACTCCGAGATACAGGTTGTCCCAATTATTTCCTTACTATATAAGCAATCGAACATAAGTGGATGTACAACCACGTGGGAGTGCGTTGTAAAATGGGCAACGAGTGGATAGACGAACGGTTACTAGAAGCGTTGACCAAGGATACCAGTCTAAATGAATCTAGTGATGAGAGAACAGGACAGGATCCGGTGACGAAACAAGCTTCCGCTTAACGAGCGTCCCGTTTCGTGTGCCAGTAAGTGACTTGATAGAATATTCTTGATTCTATAATGGTGAAAAAACAGAAGCAAGTGCAAGAACAACACACTAACATGAAGTAATGAGATTGGGAGTTGGCAAGCGAAAAAGTTCGGTCGCCGCAAAGAACTGAAAAGTGGAGCCAGGAACGCAGTGAATCAGTGTGTTTAACGACACCAGTTGATGACCTAAGATGCCTGTTTTGCGGTATCCAAGATCCTTGTTCCCATAACTCATGGAAATCGAATAGTGGGTCAACATCTGATTTCGATGGACATTTGAATTAGTTAAACTTCCCTTAGTTCCTCACATGATACATAAGAGACGTTTCAGATAAACACTAAGCACAATGAAGCAGTGGGTGGGAAAATGATGGCAGGGGACAAATAATTCGAAAGTGAAGCCGAGCCGACATGGACAGATGTCTAACTTACCGCGTAAGGTTTCATCCATCTAAACTCCGATGGACACGCGTTGAAGTCAATCAGTTGCAGAAACTTTGGAAATACACCTGTTTCGTGATAAGGCATAACGCAACGGATAAAGTCTTCGACATAATAAATGTGAACCTGAAATCTGTACGGAGGATGAGTAGGTCGATGAACTGGACGAACTTGTGCACCAACCACTCAACAGCATGCAGTACCTCAGAGAATCGAAGGAAAGGAGAGATAAAAAATAAGAATCGTGAGATCACATCGTCCAGCTGCTTTTTCTCTGCATCAAACAAGTTGCACATTTCCAAACTGCATGAAGTCTCAGCGAAGAGCGTTTGCGCGAAAGCAGCAAACACATTATCACGTTGGACTAGTGTCTCAAAGGCCTTCACGCCTGGACAAGAGATGACTGAAAGCAAAAGTGAAGTACTTTTTTGGTAGCAAGTAAGCGTATCAACTTTGGAAGGATCGTCGTATACCAAAGACTTGCGGCGCACAAGATCCACGGAATAGCTTGTAACAACCGGGACGGCTAAACGCTTAAGCTGATCTGCAAGAGACATCTGGAAAAGGTGCTATTATTTGGCTGGTAGGTAAGGAGAACCTACAAAGCAGAAAAAACAAGTTATAGGAAAGTATGAAACCTAAGATGTCTTATATAGTTCCGGCCAAAATTCGCAAACCAGTTTCTAAAAGTTTGCGAACGCTGAAGTGCCTGGGAAACACGCGTATGAAACAAAGTGCATTAATTCAGCTTGACGCCTCAAGAGTAAAAAACTGGTGAAACAACAGAAGTATGGAAACACTTTGCGCCATCGAAGAGACGACCATCACCAAAACTTATACACACCGTCAGCCAATCAAAAGGCATGTAGGGTGACGAGATCATATAGTCCTCAAGAAAAAACACATCCAGGGACAGGCGAAGTCGGAGATGCGGCAGCTGCTTTGTCACAACACATCCGTGATGCGCAGACGGACTGTCAGCTTATAGCGTTCCGCGACCCAGGATTATATATACATACATATATATATATATATATATATATATATATATATATATATATATATATATATATATATATATATATACCGAATCGGCCAGGACTCGCTCCCATACAATACTGAATGAACAGATGCGCTGCAAACGCAGTCCTTTAGAGAGAATGAGACGTCGCGACGACGCCACAAGTGCCTCGGATTGGCAAATGCTGATCCGACTTTAGCGATGCAAAATGAAATCTCTTTGTTGATAGTGCCGTCAACAGAAACACAGTTCCCAAGGTAGACGAAACTATCTACTTGTTCAAGTTGTGCACTTTCGACAGTGAGCACGGAGCAGGTGTAAGCCAATTCTGGAGCAGTACTTTACACTTTGATGGGGCGAAGCTCCTGCCATACTTAGATGCTTCAACCGCCAAACGATCCAGAATGAGTTGCATACCTTGAGGATCGTCACCAAGTAAGGCGATATCAACAGCATAATCTAAGTCGGTCGCGCGCTCATCCGGTAGAAGCTCTAGACAAAATGTTGGAAACCTTCTAGAGCACTCGACAGAACGTCTTCGATTGCGAAGTTGAAGAGGAATGGGGACACATCCCCTATTGACAGCGAACAGCGAGTAAAGCTTGCCATAGACTCTCACTCTGCCGGAGGTATGATGATAAAGTGCTCGTAAGATGGCGGTATATTTCTCTGACACCCCGTCGTTTAGCAAGCAACGCCATAGAGCAGGTCGATCAACTGAATCAAATGCTGCACGTACGTCTAGGAATGCAACGATAGTGGGCCTGTGATAAATGTGGCGATGTTCGAGGAGTTGGCGGAGCGTGAAGATTTGGTCCATGCATCCACGGCCGGGACGGAAACCAACTTGTTCTTCACGGTAGGACGATTCAGGTATTGGTGATAGTCTACGGAGCAGAATAGATGCCAATAGCTTGGAGACAACCGAAATAAGACCAATCCCGCGATGATTTACACATAACTGCGAGCGCCTTTCTGGAAAATCGGGGCAATAACAGATTCGCCCCAAGAGGAAGGCACTTTCTCTTCATGCCAGATCTTTACAAACCGCGAGGTCAGCTGGCTAATGATCGCCAAGTCGCCTTATGTGAACAGCTCCGGAGGAAGTCCGTCAGAGCCGGCACCCTTGAACCGTTGCAAGCGTCGAATCTCGAAGCCGACTTCCGCTTCGCTGGGTGGATTCAGTGGGACGATCTAAGGTGAAGAACAAGCTGCATGTATGTATGTGGCGATGTTGCATTCATGATGCTTCTTCACCGCAATTGGGCTAAATCAAACTGGATAAATTTCATTCCACATTATTTGGTTTGTTCCGCCTACCTGAATAATCTTCTACTAAGTTGCACCCGTTGCTTACGCTAATGTTGATTAGCTTCGTTAACTTTATTGCGTTTGTAGCATTTTTGAGTAAGTTGTGTACAATCAGTACTTAACGCGGGTGCGTTGCTAACCAACTTACTTCATATGTTAATTTAGCGGAGTTACGTTGGCATAGCCTTAGGCTTTAACAGATATACTTTATTAGAGAATGTCATTTCAAGTGAATGATTGTTGTTTGACATCCCGGTATAACTGCGCTTGACGTGCATGTTGACAAGGTACCTACCTGTCTGTTACCCATTACGTCGTCCATACTTGCTCCAGGAGACAGGTGATCGTTACTGGATGAGGACGGGGTGCACGATCCTTGTGGCCGGGCTAGGTTCGAAGGTCGGTTCCATGCACTCAGTGTGGAGCGGACTACGGTCCAGCCATCGCCTTGCGTGCGCTTCACTGTGATTGTGGGCCGGCTCAGCTGGTGAAACACAGCTGCCATCCACACGCCTCCCGGTCTTGTTCCTTCGCGTTTACACTGGATATGCGGTGTGTGGTTGAAGCTGTGGGTGGTGCAGCGCAAGCCACCCATGATCCCTCTGTAGGCGCAGGCGTCCTGTGGCTTGCCACAGTGACAGGCAAATCCGAAACCGGATGCCGCCAACCATGTATGCATGTGTGCCCCATGCTGAGGCTGATGTTGCATTCTTGATGCTTCTTCACCGCAGTTGGGCTAAACCAACTTACACTTAAACTAGGTCTTTTTAAACTGGATAAATTTCATTCCACTTTATTTGGTTTGTTCTGCCTACCTGAATAATGTTCTATTAACTGGCCACGTTGCTTACGCTAATTGCGCTTATCTTCGGTAACTTTATTGCGTTTGTAACATTTTTAAGTAACTTGTGGACATTTTTTCCTTATCGCGGATTCGTTGCTAACCAACTTACTTCATATGGTAATTTAGCGAAGAGTTATGCCACCGTATCTGTATACATTATTGGATTTATTTTATTTCAGCTTGTCGTTTAAAGTGAATGGCAGTTGCTTGATATCCCCGGTGTGGCTGCGCTTGATGTGCATGTTGACAAGGTGCCTACTTGTCTATTACCCACTCCGTTGCCCATATTCGCTCTAAGAGACAGTTGGTCGTTGCTGGAGGGGACGGGGTGCACGGCCCCCATGGTCGTGCTAGGATCAAAGAGTGGTTCCATGCACTCAGTGTGGAGTGGACTACGGTTCAGCCACCGCCTTGTGTGCGCCTGATTCCCCAACTACAGCGTTCTTGTGTTTGCCTGTGAAGGAGTGTGGGCCGGCTCCGTTGATGAAACGTGGCTCCCATCCACATACCTCCCGGTTTTATTCCTTCGCGTTTACACTGGATATGGGGTGTGTGATTGGAGCTGTGGGTAATGCAGCGCAAGCCACCCACGGTCCCTCGGTAGGCGCAGGCGTCCTGTGGCTGGCCACAGTGACAGGCAAATCCGAAACCGGATGCCGCCAACATATATATATATATATATATATATATATATATATATATATATTCGGCTGCCTATAGAATAGAGGCCGGGCCATCGAAAACCATGGAATAGATGTGCGTACTAAGTACAATGACCACAAAGTGGAAAATATTTGAAGAAAAGTTTTTTCGGTATTTTTCACACGCCGTTTTGTCTTTTCTGTCAGTTTTGTGAATACGATTTTCGTTAGTAGAATCAATACATAGACTTATATAAACCTTCTACTAGCCCCGAATACGCACCATCTCCTCAAGTCTTCAACTACCTATGTTCTTTATGTCGGGCTCCCCTACCCGGGAAAAGTACGGAGCCAACAACAACCAGGCCGGAAGTCAGCACTTTGACGTTTTGTCAGCAAGTGATAGGTTGACCACCGCACGAATTCTTCCAGTGCAGCCCTGCTCGAGCGAATATAGGACGCCGTGATTAACGCCCGCATGGCATACGTAGGAAGTGACGTATCCGCCTCAGTTGGCGCAGCGATATTAGCTTATCGAGGAGGCGCGCATTACCCAGGACGCGGCGTCTAAGATCGTTGTTGCAAACGTGGTGTTACCGCCACACACGAGCTATTCTCCGCAGACAACCGTTGTCAAAGGCCGAAATCCAACGCAAATCATTTACATGGATCGGCCAGAACTCACTTTGGTACGACAGGACCGCGTGAACACAAGCATTGTGCACTTTGCACTTTACCGAGAATGAAATGTCACAACGACGCCACAGATGACTCAGTTCAACGAAAGCCGGTCGAGCTTTGGCAATACGGAGCGAAATCTTTTTGCCAATGGTGCCATCAGAGAAAACGCAGCTCCCAAGGTCATGCCATACTTGGTAGCTTCAATTACCAAGCTGTTTAGAAATGTATGCATAATCTGTGGGCAGTCACCGAGCAAGGCAATGTCATCAGTATAGTCCAAGTCAGTCGCGCGGTTGCCTGGAAAATCTACGTCAGAACCCTGGACACCATCCAAAGCGCTTAAGAAAACATCCTCAAGCGCAAAGTTGAAGCGAAACGGGGACATGGAACATCCCTGTCGCACACCGCTGGTGATGAGGAAAGATGAAGAGCGCGGACCATAAGCTCTCACTTTGCCAGAGACGTTGCATGAAGCACGAAGTATGGTGCTATACTTTTCGGGTATCCCATCTCTTTGCGGACAACGCCATAAAGCAGGCCGACCGACCGAGTCGAACGCAGCTCGGATGTCCAAAAAGGCGACAATCGTAGGCCCGCGATAAAAGTGGCGCTGCTCGAGGAGTTAGAGGAACGCAAACATGTGGTCCACACACCCACGACCGGGGTGGAAACCAGCTTGTTGCACACAGGAGTGTAAGTCTCGAATCAGTGTTAGTCTGTGCAGTAAAATGGACGGAGCCCTCTGTGATTGGCGCATGAGATACGGGCACCCTTTTTGAAGATGGGTGTGATAATCGACTCGCTCCAAGAGGATGGAACCTTTTCTTCACACCAGATCTTGGAGAACAGAGTTGTAAACTGGCTGTCAATTGTCTCGCCATCGTATTTGAACAGCTCAGGAGGAAGTCCGTCTGAGCCAGCAGCTTTGAATCGTTACAAATGACGAAGCTCAAACAGACCTCCGCTTCGATAGGTGGTTCCAGCGAAGCGTTCCAATGTACGCAATTACGCACACTTTTTAAACAACCAGAAGGAGGTCAACTGAACTGAGAGTGGAAGTGTTCAGCCCAGCGGTCCATGCACCTAAAATTGCGATTGGTG